ATATCCCCAGATATAAACCTTAATATTCAAAAAGAAGATCTGGAGCAGTAATCCTAGTTTTGAACCAAAACAAATACTTATAGAAATTTGGGACTGCGAAGCTCGCTCAAGCGAAGACTCTCTCGCTCGAGCAAGGAACCAAAAATGCGTGTTTTCTATAAGTGGCTTCACTCGAGCCACACATCCTTCGCTCGAGCGAACAAACCCTCTTTCAGGTCTTTATGCAGACGTAGTCCTTCGCTCGATCGAGCATTTCTTCGCTCAAGCGAGCAAGGGCAGACAGGAAACTTTGAATGCAATTTTGCATTTTGCTTCGAGGGCGCTGCCCCAAACCCGCCAAGGGGCGTTGTCCCCTGGACCCCCGCGAGCTGACCGGGCAGCTCGATCCCCGTCATAATCAGCGAAGTGGCAATCTTGAAAGCATTAACATCACAAACTTCTCTGCAAGGCACAATTCGGGTTGGATTCGCATCTAAAAACTCATAGCCTCACTGAAATAAAAAGTGCGAAAATAAGTACAACTGAAAGGAGTTTTGTCAACCGGGATTGCCAAGAATAAAAACCTAACAATATTCAATGTGAAAAATTTAGGAAAGAACACTGGAAAAATAATATGTTGTGGCCTTTCTAATCAATACTAACCTAGCACCATCTTTTGCAAGGTTTCTACAGCAAGAGTGTCGGACAATACAAAAACTAGATTTCTAGTCATAACCTTGGAAACAGGTGTCTCCGCAAGATTCACCTCACCAGCAACCAATATGAAGAATATATTTCAGTCAAAGGTTAGTAGTATTAACCAAATTGATGAATTATGTGAAAGTTAATAAGCAAGCAACAGGATTGATCTCTTGTTCTAATTGTTGCAACCTCTAAAATCATTGTACTTTTAATTGCGATTTTGGAGTGACATTGTCTATCAAGTTAACACAATAATTTGCATTGCCAAAACCATGAAATCATTAAGGTATTAATGATGAAAGGAAAGCAAATGCAGTCCAAATTAGCCCGAAAACATGCTTCACAAGATGAATACGAGGTTCAGGAAAGCAGCCATCATCATACCTACCTTCATTTTGGAAACATAGTTTCACATTCAACACAACCATACATTTCCAAATTCCATATCTATATATGCATAACATTATGTGAACATAGGGGTATATATTCATGTATATACCCAAGAGTATGGGTAGGCATTTACCTCCCAATCTTCATTTGTCCAAAATGCACTTTTTGAACCTGAAACCCGATTCTTGTTACATGGTCTATGCACTTCACTTCTTGTATCTGAAGCTGCCTCTGACCTTGAAAATTAGTTTTTCTTAATAGTTAAATCCTCACTAATGGATGAAGAGTTAGAATTCCAATCAACATCATTCAGTACATCCCCTTCAAGAATAGTTTTCTTGGAAGCTTTTAAAGCCCTCGAAACTTCATTATCTTTTACTTCAACAGCCGTCTTCAGTTCTTGGATCCTTGCCTGATAATGGTCACACGTTAGAATATCCTGAATCAAATTAACCATGGTCGATTCACTTATTCGGTCGTGATGAATTTACCTTCAGTTTCTTTATCTTCTCTTTTGCCTTCCCGAGTTTGCGAAGAGCACGGGCTTCTCCTCTTCCTAGAACATTGCATTTGGCTATCAATTCTTTGCAACTCCTGTGGAAAGAAGCTATGAATTATGTGCCAACTAACAACTAAACCAAAAGAAATGAAACTTGTAAAATGACAAAACAGAAGCAAATAGATGTTCTAACATGCCACATAAATCACAATTATGCCAAAAGTGTTCTTTTTTCCTTTTCTATGAGAGAGAGAGAGAGAGAGAGAGAGGGAGAAAAATCATGTTGCAAACAAATTTGTTTATAGTCAGCTAACTGTGTTGCCTGTATGTTTGAACTCTGCACAGCTGGCTAATCATGACTTTTAGAATTGCATTTTCAGTAAGTATTTGTCAGTGTTATACCAATTAACCTTATTTCTATGCTCCTGTTGAGGGCAAATGATTCATTTATCCGTTATTTTGAAGTATTGGAAATGTATACTAAGTTGCCTGAATTGAATAGTAAATGTTCCTGTTCATAATTTCTTTCTAATATGGCATAACAGTACCAAACTGCAATGTGATTAAAGGGATAACACAGAAGGATATTTGCTAAACATGTGCACAGATTTGACATGGTGTTGAAACAAATTCAGCATTTATATTGTTTCAACTTTGTCCTTGAACCAATCAAGCCTAAACATAAACCCAAACCAGATTGTTCGTTGCCTCCGTCCAGAGTTTGAAATTAATATATTTATAATTTATTAGAAAAAAGAAAATACCCCCCCCCCCAAAAAAAAGGAATGATAGAGAAACTTACTTGTTGCGAATGATCAATTTCCCTATGCAACTCCCCTGGATTATCATCGCAATTGATCAATTTCTGATAGAGATTGCCTACTTATTGGAAATAAAGCCGACTAACATTGGCCTCCGAAAAGACCTGCTTGCATACAGGACATCGTTTCTTCTTCGCATTTGAACTGTACTCGATACATTGTTGAAGGCTAGGTTTGTCAAAAAAACACATCAAATTGAAGATCGTTCTCAAATAATAATCGATTGAAGTGAACAATTGTGAAGATATAACTATAATATGTGAGTATAGAAGTGATGACCAGAGCTCGTGGAAGACATGGCCGCAAATGGAGATTGATTGAAGGTCTTCGATGATTGGATTGAGATCTTCGTAGCAGATTGAACATATAGGCTTGGTAATTGTGCTACCGCCATTGGAGATTGAAATGCGAGTAATCAAGGGGTCAGAGTTCAGATCTGAGCTTCTGGAAGATGAGAAAAGAGAGTTTTAGCGATAGAAAGTGTAGGTAGAGAGAGAGAGAGAGAGAGACGGTGGAGTTCACCTTAGTGAAATCGAAATCGCTGGTGCAGATGGTAGTGGCGATGGAGCTTCGAAATAGAAATCGCTCTAAAATCACTGAACCTCTGAATCTCTGCAAACAAGGATCAAGTCAGAATAAAATAGTGGAGCTCTGAATCTCTCACTAAAGAGAGAGAGAGAGAGAGAGAGAGAGAGAGACGGTGGAGCTCGCTACCTCGCCGGTGTAGATCGTGCTGGCGATGGAGCTTCGAAATCGCCGGTGCAGATGGAGCTTCGATGGAGCTTAGAGAGGGTTGAGAGAGAGAGAGAGAGAGAGATGTGTACGTATAAGGGTTGAGAGAGAGAAAGGGCTGAGATTCAAAATAAGAAAGGATGGAGGACGCGCGTGTGACTACCGCATTTGGAGGCGTTTTCAATTATAAAGCGGTGCCGTTTTGGTTAACAAATATGTGGCGGTTATAAAACGCCATTAAAAATTAAGAAAAGTGGCGTTTAAAAAAACGCCGTTAAAACCTATTTTTCCTATAGTGTTTTCTGAGTCATAAATAAAATAAAAAAAAAATTAAAAAGCCATAACCAAACAAGAAGAAAATTGATCATAGCTAAAGAAGAAAATGATGTAACTAGAAGTGTATATGGTATGTGGTGTGTATGATAGAATTCTCCTAAAATAGGAGATAGGCATTTATAGAATACAATAACATCAAATAGAAAAAAAAAAATACTAAGGTTGTGTTTGAATTATGAATTTCAATATGAATTTGTGAAGGAAAAGGAAAAACAAATAGATAAGTTTTTTATTTTTTTATTTTCTTTCTCTCATTATTGGCATATGAAAGTGTTGTTTTGTAAGTTTACACAACTTAACCATGTAAAGAGTGGACCCATATTCAACAGTGTCAGCTGAGACATACCATTCAAAATAGTGTTTGATTAGTCACTACAACAAATCATACCTTTGGCGGTCATTTTTGGCGACTAAACAAATTTTAGTTGTTGAAAGTATATTTTTTGGCGACTAAAATTTATATTTGTCGGCGTTGGTTCAAGATATCGCTCTAAAATATTTTAGTCAATAAATTTTGATTGGTCACTGTTAGTCCAAATTTTAGGCCAAAAAAAAATAAATTAATTAGTAATATTGGTTTTTCCCGACTAAAATTAAAATTAGTCGCCAAGTAGTACTTTTGGCGACTAATATTTTCGTCGCTGTTCAATAACCTTTTGGCTACAAAAAAATGTAGTCGGCAGACCTATCCCTTTGCCGACAAATACAGAAATTAGTCGCTAAAGGTTCAATTTTCAACCAGCCAAACCTTCATTTCCGTGCGCGCCCCTCTCTCTGTTATAAAGAGTTATAACATAGGGTAATACTACATATCATGAAATAAATATCATGAAAAACTTCATGAAACTAATCCAATGGTGAATGCATAACATACAATAAAACACTACAAACACTATAATCTAATCCAATGGTGGAGAATCTTCATGAAAACTTTTCATGACATTGTTTTCATGATACCTAGCATTATTGTATAACATATGCATCAAGTCTTAAAGAGTTATTTAAGCCCGTGTGTACCATATGCATCAAGACTAGTCTTAAAGAGTTATTTAATTATGTCTTAATAAAATAATTTTAATTATGAAACATAGTGATGAAAGGGGTGCAAATGGTATGCCCGTGTGTAGCAGACCCTATGCATCAAGGTCAAATGTTTTTAAGCCCCAAATGTTTCGCTTAGTGAAAGGAAAGAAACTTAAAAAAGAAAAAAAAAAAAAGTAATAAAGAAAAAGAAAGTAAAGTGGAAATCTTATGGTAGTGTTTGATTTATTAAAATGAAAACATATAGAAATTGCATGGTTATTCCTTATCTTTTTTATGGAATGATCATTCTCTTACAATAATGAATGATAATTTCATTTATAATCCATTTTTCACATTTTTTTTTAATAAATCAAAATCATGATAGAATAAGCATTATTCTAATTCATTCACATGAATCAAATATAGCATAATTGTTTGATTGCAAAGAGGCATTTAACTATAACAAACATGTCTATTTATTATACAAGAAACACTGTGATTCATTTCAAGTTGCATGCAACCCCTAATCACCGCAATCAATTTTCATTCCACACATAAATGAAACATACAGGGCTTGTTTGTACTCAAAATCAATTTTATTGGAACACATAAATAGACTATAAGGCAACCTTATTTAAGATCATTGCAATACATATTTAAACAAGCCTTGCAACAGTCCCTCTATTTCTTCCATGTCTTTTACCAGTTCCAACAAGAGCATCCCTGATCACAAGCAACTCAGCTACCACATCACTCATGTTGGGTCGTTCTCTCAGCAATTCTGCAGAACAAGCAATTCCAATTCGAAAAATCGAAGCCAATGTCTCCAAAATTTTAACAATACTCCAATTCTTACCAGTGCCCGTGGCGGTTTTGCTTGTTTCCCCCTCTCCTTGTTTAAGAAGAATTGGATCTGCAATCCTCTCTACTCCATCAGACAAAGCAATTTTGACAAAGTTATGAAGGGTCAAACTGTCATTAAACATCTCATCAGTGGGTCTTTTTCCTGTGAACATCTCGAACAAGAGGATGCCATAGCTGTACACATCGCCATATGTTGATACCTCACTTCCCATTCCATACTCTACAATTCACACAACAAAATCCAACTTTTCAGAAATGAAATAGGAATAGATGTAATGTTGTTATTAAATGTTTGCTATTTCAAATGATATATGTAAATAAACCTTTTGGGGAAAAAAAAATATGAAAGCATGTTTACCCGGTGCAGCATAACCGACAGATCCTCGTATTCCAATAGAACTTGATTGGTTTGCAGAATTGGAATGGTTGACTTCAAGAAGGAATTTTGCTAACCCGAAGTCACTTACATGTGCAGTCATTTCACTATTTAGAAGAACATTGCTAGGCTTCAAATCACAATGAACTATTGGTGTTTGGCAATGATGGTGAAGATAATCCAAAGCAGAACCAACATCAATGGCAATATTTAACCTTTGAAGAAGATTCAAACTCAAGGGCATATCATCAACCATATGTTCTCCAATATTTGGATGCAGCCACCCATCTAAGCTCCCATTGACCATGAACTCATAAACCAATGCTTTGAAATCATTGCCCTGATAATCAATACCTGAACATGCAGTTAGTACATTGACAAGATTTCGATGCCTAATATTCCTCAAGGTCTCACACTCCGCAATGAAGCTCTTGGAAGCTCCTCGATGTAAAAGGTTAAGTACCTTTGCCGCAACAACCGTTCCATCATCAAGAATTCCTTTATACACTGACCCAAAACTACCAATACCAACCAAATTGGCTGAAGAGAACCCATCAGTAGCTTTAAGGAGACCTTGGTATGACACATTCATGAGTAAATGTTTCAGTGAAACTGAACAAGGCTCCTTAATCTTCTTCTTGAACCAAAAAATATACACCAAACATGTCATCAAAATTGCTCCCAAAAGCCCGCATAATAAAGAGATAACGTATTTTAAACTAAAAATGGACCTTTTTTTGGAACCTTTGAAGTTACATATGGGTAATTGTAATTCAGGTACACCCCCACAAAGTTTATTGTTTCCTATGATTGAAACAGCACTTGCATTCTTGAAGATGCCTTTAACTGGCACCTCACCGTCAAAATCATTAAAAGACAGGTTTAGTTCCTGCAAGAATACAAAACCTTCTAAATAATCTGAGATTTTCCCTGACAAATTGTTGCGAGAAAGATCTAAAACTTGAATCCCTCTCAAAAATCTCAAAGACGAAGGAGTGGTCCCCTGAAACAAGTTGGCTTGCAAGTATAGGATTTCCAATTTTACACAACTACCGAGAGTGGCCGGAATTTCACCTAATAACTTGTTTTCAGAAAGGTCCAAGGAACCGAGATTAATCAGATTTCCAATATTTAAGGGAAGTGAACCAGTTAGATGGTTTTGAGATAGGTTTAGAAGTATTGACAGTGATGAAATATCAAACACTTCTTTTGGTATTGTACCACTAAGGTTGTTGGCACTAAGATCCAATAACACCAAATTTTTACATTTCCCCAAACTTGCAGGGATGCTTCCATGAAGTTTGTTTTCTGCTAAACTGAATTTGGATAACAAAGTTAAATTTCCAAATGAGTTGGGAATATTCCCTGAGAATTGGTTTTCAAGTAACGCAAACTCTTGTAGCTTTTGAAGCTGACCAATATTAGGTGGAATATTACCTGTGAACTGGTTGCCTGCCAAAAAGAGGTTTTCCAAGTTGATAAGATTGCAAATCCCTGCCGGTACATCTCCAGACAATTGATTGTAAGTTAGAGATAAGTCTGTAAGCTTAGTAGAGAGATTACTAATGGATTCCGGCAACACCCCTCCAAAATTGTTCTGATTCAGCTCCAGCAGATCCAAATTTGTGGCATTAGTCAAAGAGGATAGAAAGCTCAAGTCATCAGCTTATGAAAGCTGGACCTCTGACAAGAGAA